CCAGTATCAAATACTTATTTCACTTCAGGGTGATAGCAGGATACCCCATCTAGTCACTCAGAGAAAATCAGGACAATCTGAAGTAGAGTTTCAAAATAAAATACCTTTATTTTNTTGCTATCAGAAACAATGCCCGACTGTTTTGGACGTAATATGGTCGGTGTTTACATTAGCATGGCTAACCCTCAGAGCTAACCTGTACTGTAGAGCATGTGTGTGAAGAAGCAGGAAGTAAAAAGGAACTCACCTTGTGGTATAACCGGCAAGAGAGAAAGCCTTTGAGCTCCATACTGTTTCAGAGATAATCCTTGATAATCCATGATATGGCAGGAATAGTTTAGACAGTAGCTGCTGGGTCCCGCATGAGCTCAGCCCCCTCCTTTTTTATTTTTTAAAGCTTTATACCCCAAATCTGTCAGATCTGTTTGGTATTTTGAGCAAAACACTTCATAGACATGTTTTTTTATATATTTGTATATCTGAGACCTATGTTATTGCCTAAAAATAGCATGATAGGTGACCTTTAACATACTGTATGTCAATTAAACAACGAAAGATAGTGATTGATCCGATTTCAGTTGCAAACAGCTATTTTAACCTCTCTTTACTTCCATACAATAATCTGTTAGGATAAAGCGCACAGAGGCCAGTAAGTACATTACAAACTAAACTAAATGCAGTGTTTTCAGCTCTTCTCAGTAAATTCTACTTAAAGTTATTTATAAAACAAACGAGACGTCAGGAGTTCGTATTTAAACTTTATTTAGGGTATATCAGAGTATGTATCATATGCTGCGAGTCGCTTCCGATGGAGAACGTATATTTACATCTCAGGTTTTTTTTGAACACGTACAAAAATACAAATTTTCAAAACAAATGAAACAACTGTACACTGTACAAACACAAAGAGAAGCAGCTGATACAACAGAGCTGATGTTCAATAAAACACCAGCCTGGTCCTTTAATCGTCCCGGTAACACTGCGCAGGTACAGCTGAGTGTAAACAGACTTAGTGTTGTTATTCTTCAAATATAAAGAAACGTCACACTCTTTTAATTCCTTTGGGATATTCCCATAGCAGGTCCTGTGTTTATATGTTCTATAAAAAGTCTTGGGAACATGACCGGAACAAAGAAACTGAAATATATGTTAGGACTATCGTAACACACACCAAGTTTTCAGAATAAAGTTGTAATATTTTAAGAAGAACTAGCATAATTTTTATGTAAATCAAGTTTTGTTGTTTTACCTTGTGTGCTATCGTGAACATTTTCTGATAACATTGATATTTTCCTCAAAATATTTCCACTTATTGAACTTAGCACTCAGTAAAATACTGCAACGGTTATACACATCAGACACACACTCACTCACTAGTTTGAACGACTGAAAATGGTGACTCAAAATGGTGACTCAAAATGTGGACTCAAAATGTGTTATGGCAACTTTTTCTTCTATGAGACAAAAGAGTAACTTCCATGGCAACTATGACTCGGCAACCTTTCTCCTAAAAGTTGCTGCACGTTGCCTCTTTCAGTCAGTTAGAGCGTCAACTGAAACGCAAGAGGACGGAGGTGAAGAGATACATTCGTAAATATGGTGAACATGAGATTTGACCGTCTGTTAACGACGTGTGAAAAGTTCTGAATCGCCGCCAAGGTTACAGGAGGTTAAAGGAGGCCAGGCTGAGTCCTGGAAATGAGTCAGCCTTTTTACAACATCTGGCTACCTCCTTTTGAAGTCAACATCATCAGTGACATCATCAGCTGGGGGGGCTTCCTCTCAGCCCCAGAGGAACTAGTCTCGGCATCGGCCTCCAGGCCACGCCGCCATCGTTTTTCCCTTCTTCTTCTTCTCCTCCTCCTCCTCCTTCTTCTTCTTCTTCTTCCCCATCGCTGTTGGCGGGTTCCATTACTTTCTCGGCCCCGCCCACTTTCATCTGCTGCAGAGGGGGCGGAGCCAGGACGCCGCCTCCACCTTTAGCGTTTTCAGTCGTTGTCGACTCCTCAGAGTCAGAGTCCAGCTTTAGGGTCCAGGGGCTCAGGATGGGTCCTGTCTCCTCTTTGGCTCCGCCCACTGACGACAACCCCGGTAACAGGACACTGGTTGTTGTTGATGCTGTGGTGATGGTCCGCTGGTTGAGGAAGTCGATCTCGTTGAGGAGGGACATCAGACCCTCGTCGTCTTTTGTCTCCTCGTCTTTCTGCTGCTGCTCCAGAGACCCCTTCATTCCCAGGACCTCAGCCCCAGGATCAGCACTCTTTCCTGGGCAGGGAGAGGAGGACGGGCCCTGGTTGGAGGGTGGAGGCGGAGAGGATCTGGGATCAGGAGGGGTTTCAGCCACTTTCTGGGGAGGTGGTGGAGTTTGTGTTTTTTCGTGTGGTTCTTCTTGTTGTTGCTGTTGTTGTTGTAGCATTTGTTGTAGTAGGATCTGTTGCTGTTGTTGTGATTGTTGTTGTATTTGTTGTAGTATCTGTTGGTGTTCTGCAGTTGATGGTGGAACCAATTGAAGCAGGTTGTTTAAGTCTCCAGCTGTAATAAAAAAAAAGATCAGCTGGTGTCAGGATGTAAGATCAGAAAACAACTAAATTACTTTCATAAGTTCACGAGTCAGTAATGAGCTAAGTAATTTAGCCAATTTCTTGGTTAGTAAGTCGTAAACAAGTAAAATATGATGGCATGTAAATGAGTTAGTTTCAAGGTATTTGTACTGGTGAATTATTTATTTGCGAAGTTGCTATTTAGTTAAGAAACTATTAGGTTAGTTACGTTTTGTTGGTTAGTTGAGTTACCTGTGTAGTTAGTCAGGTATTTAGTTAGTTGAGTTACTTGTTTAGTTAGCTAGTTGAGTTACCTGTGTGTTTAACAAATTGTTGAGTTACCTGTGTAGTGAGTGAGTGAGTGAGTTAATTGAGTTAATGATTTACCTGTATGGTGAGAACATTAGTAAATGAATTTGTATTTGATGGTTAGTTGAGANAGGTATTTAGTTAGTTGAGTTACTTGTTTAGTTAGCTAGTTGAGTTACCCGTGTGGTTAGTTAGGTATTTAGTTAGTTGAGTTACTTGTTTAGTTAGCTAGTTGAGTTACCTGTGTGGTTAGTCAGGTATTTAGTTAGTTGAGTTACTTGTTTAGTTAGCTAGTTGAGTTACCTGTGTGTTTAACAAATTGTTGAGTTACCTGTGTAGTGAGTGAGTGAGTGAGTTAATTGAGTTAATGATTTACCTGTATGGTGAGAACATTAGTAAATGAATTTGTATTTGATGGTTAGTTGAGATACTTGTACATTTGAGCTTTTAGTTAATTGTTTAGTTAGTCGATTTACCTGTTTGGTAAGTTAGTTAGTCAGTTAGTTAGTTAGTNTCATATGTTGCATGAGATCCTTGTCCAGTTACTTTGCTAGTGGCCTTATACTTGATTAACTTTTGTTTATTTCTACCATCGCCAATATACTGCTGAAGCCCAGCGCGTTCCTACCTGTAGGCCGCTGCCCCCTAGTGGGCCCATGAAGGCATTGCCAGTGGGCTGCCAAATATTTTGCAAAACATAATGATTTGTGTGGAACATTATAATTAAGATTTGCTTTTTATTTGACCTCTTTCCTTCTCTTTCTTGATCCTCCTTAGCAACCGGTCATTTCAGTCCTTTTAAAGCCGGTCTGGTTCATACTGATCTACTGTCACATCATGTTCTGAATTGACATCAGAATTTTATTTTACATGAAAGCTACAGACATATACGTTAGCGTTTCCCTGGCTATTTATTCCGCTTTTTCGTTTGTTTTGAACTATGGGAGTAGAGTCCACAAATGTTGACATGTGCAACAGAATTTGTACCTGAAATATAATTAGCTACAGATTATTTAAAACACACATGACCGATGAGTCTTCTAGGAGGTCTGATATCAGTTAAGGAGGATGTGGATTGCTCTTGCATTTTATGATCTATTTGTGACCATTTAGACCAGCTAAAGGATGAGGATGAAGGTAGTTAGGAGCTTTAATCTGAGCGAAAAACTTATAGATCATTATGCGATCATTCATAATCAATGTCCAAACAAGCGTGGGGAGAAGGTGAAATGAAGACACCAAACAAACATCCAATTCATCTTTCTTTGCTTTATTAAGATTCATCTTTCTATTATTTTGGCTAAAAAATTAAAATAAAAGCAAATTTTGGCATACAGAATACTTCACTTGTCACGGTAAAAGCTGTTCACCATTGCACTGATGTGCTGTCACACTTTATCAACACCTTTCTCTAACAGCAGAGATATACTGTCCTGCCAACTTCTTTTTTTTTAACGAAATACTTTTTCTATACGACTAAAAAAACAATTAAAGAGAGACTTGAACGATAAAATCACCTTAAGCGGCCCAAAAAATAAATCATTTTCCTAGATTGTGCCTTTGAAAAAATGAGAACAAAGCCAAGCTTTAACTAGCCTGCGATGAAGAGCATTTGTCAATAAGCTCTCCGAGAACTTTGTAGGGAGGGAAGGGTTTTACAAAGTATAGTCCAGCGGCCGCAGTGGGAGGGCCACTGCTGTCCGACGTTGCTGTACTCGCGACAAATACTGCCATCCCCACTTCGAACGTCCACCACCGGCTTCCCACAGCTGCCTTACAGTTTAGACTGAGCCTTGAGGAGAGAGGAGGACGCAGGTTAATGAACACGCTCGGGAGAAATAGAACGCTTATAAAGTTGAATTGAGCGTTTCAAGCTTTTTTGAGAGGCGGGGGGCCAAATGATCATTCATAGGTCCACTCAATAACTTCAATGAGCTTCAACTGCCTTTCCTCAGTTGGATCATTTTTCCACTGTATATCCTTTGGTTTTCAAGTTCAAAGGGTTTTGAAGAATGAAACATGAGAGAGTTTTTTCACGGTCTTCTGCTGTCTGATCGTCCAGTTTTTTTTTAGGGGAGCGTTGGGGGCCCGGTTCGAGTCCACAGACATTAGGCATTCTTGTTTTAGCATGGTATAAAAAGCACCTAACAATAAAAGTGCAATTACCTCCCTTAGACCAGTGATTCTCAAAATGGGGGCCCTACACTGACCCCTAGGGGTACCGTTGGTACTCCAGGGGGTACGTGAGGTTAAAAAAAATACGCTAAGGCTTAATTAAAAAAATGACCATGCATGATTACAAATAACTTTAGTACAATAAGTTAAATAGAAACAGAATGTTCTATATAAAATATTCCTAGAAGCATCTAAGGGTGGTCCTCATATAACATTGTATGCATTGTGTATTGTAATTATAGTTTTAATACATTATATCATCTGTTGTTCTTGAGTTTTGTTAAACATATATTAAATAAATAATTGAAAAACTCCTTTTGGAAATATTTTTTTTCATGCTAAAGATGAAAACAATATCCTTAGTTTGTCTTAATTCATAAGGAGTTAATAATCAAACACTGATGGAACATCACTATATTGAAATGTATTTTATAGGCTTTTTCTGTTTTTCAAGTTTCGCGGATCGGTCAGGGAGATCTTGCGCCTTGAGAAAAATGTTTCAAAGGGCGTCACATACTGAAAAAAGTTGGAAGCACTGCTCGTAGACGATACACATTTCAGAACATTAGTTTGAAGTCTAGTTTCTGCGGCCATTTCTTTTCGTGATTCTCAAACTGTTGTTACTTTTTTTGGTCGGTACTAAATTTTCTGACAGGGAGTGCGAAGGGATGCGATGGCTTCTGCGTATGCCTACTGCATTTATTTATTATTATGACATTATATATTAATTAACTCACGTTGCAGTGGTTTTATTCATTTTTAAGTTTGTATCCTTTACTGTCTGGTTTTTATTATATTGCGATTGTTCCTGGTTCAATAACCATGAAAGCGCCTTGTTACTTTGTTTGAAAGCTGCTGCATAAATACATTTTTTCACGGCTCACTTAACAGTAACGGGACACATAGTACAGTATTTTGACTGCTCTCATTGACACTGCCCCTATATTTTCATTTTTTTAGTAATGTGGCTCCTTGTGCTTCCTACCTGCCAGCAGGGAGCAGCCAGTATATCGTAGGTTGTCATGCTGCCCAGTTGGTGACCAGCTCCCATCGCAGCCCGTGACTTGGCCATTTGATTGCAAAACGTCTTGTGGACGGCCCTTCTAACAGTCCACACAGGATGGCGTAAGAGGTGCATTAACCTGCCTGTAGAATAAAGAATACAGTTATAACATTTACTTAGCCCAAAAGCATTCAGCTCAGTTTTCGTTAAATCAGGCAAAATAAATCATAACATAACAGACCTCCCGTTGCATTCATTACTATACTTTTCAGTCCTGCATATGTGAATAAAGTGTTTACGCGAATGTGATTTAATTTATTTTAAGTGGACCTGTCATGCCTATTATTGAATAAGGTTATTATGTAGGACCATACCGCGGACGATATATAAGGCAATATTTATACTTTTTTTTTTTTCAAAAATACCAAATCAGATCATCGGCCATTTTAGCCATTCCTCATTTCGCTCAATTTAAGCATCTGTCTTTGCATGGCTGATTGTGGAGAACAGCCACCTCTACAGCCTGCCATATGCTACTACAGCCGTCTTCCAGCCGCTTTTGAACGGCCAATTCGTCCGTGGCTGCTGAGTGTTGAATTTTGGCAGGCTGTTTTTTGATTTTAGTCTTAGTCTTAGACGAAAATGGTTATGTAGTTTTAGCTCCGACTTTTAGTCATTCCTATCCTTCGTAGTTTTTAGTTCTAGTTTTAGTCTCTAGTTTTAGCGAACGAAACTTCAAACAGTTTTAGCTTGCAAGAAAAATTACATTTTAGTCAACTTTTAGCTCAGAAATGGTCTCTATACTCTCTGAACGCTCCGTCCCCGCAGATTCTGTGTCCGCTCTGCATGCATGTCTGTTAGGCCCCGGCCACCCGCACACGGAGAGACACAGGGAGATCACTGCTTCTGGAGTGAAGAGAGCGGAAATAATGATATTGCAAGTTAGAAACGTAAGATGCATTTTGACAGACAAGACGGACACTTGGGGGAAAATATGCTGCATTTTGAATGTCCGATAGTGCACCATTAACACCTTAGTCCCGTCTCGTCAACGAAAACTAAATATACATTTCGTCATAGTTTTCGTTATCAAGAATCTATTTTTAGCTCGTCATCGTCTCGTCTTAGTCATGTAAAAAAGGTTGTTGACGAACATTTTTCGTCATAGTTTTCATTGACGAAATTAACACTGCGTGGCTGTCTCCTCCTGATTGGTGGAGTTGGCCCAATAGCCGTAGCGCCACTTCTGTGACGTCACAGAAGTGTTCAAATCTGGATCAGTCTGTATCAGATCCGTTGCAGCCCCTTTTTTAGAGATTTGGGTATGGAGTAAAATAGAGAGGGTTGTGTTTTCTGACACTTGGTGAGTTCCCAGGAACACCGGGGACACATATTCATGTATAAAAGACGTACAAAAGTGCATTTTGCATGATAGGTCACCTTTAAGTAAACAGCCAGGCATGTGCCGAAAGGAAACTTTCCCATTTCTGCTCAACGTCAGTGTTATTGCCAAAAAGCCATGACTGGAAAATGGATAGCACACTTTAATTCAACATGTTCTTTTAATTAATGCTCTTCAAACTGGAGGAAAAACAATACAATTACAATCCAAATCAACCTCTCTCTTTCACCAATTATCTATCTACATATGTATATTCTGCCTGCCACAAAAAAGTATGAAAGGATTAATAAATCATTCTGATGCATATTAAGCACTTTACATATTAAGCTTGTGGGACATCACATCAAAGAAGCTTCATTTGGCCGCCATGCTAATTTACAATAATTGCTCGATTGTGCAGAAGCAAGCGGAAAATCCTTTTTGTCTATACACACATTATGGACTGGATTAGTCTGTCATAGTTTGTCTTAATAGAAATGAACACTTGGACATTCAAAAATAGAAAATGTAATTGGGCAAAATAACATACTATTTGTTGCAATTCATTTAAAAATAGCATATCATTATGATTTTATACTATATTTTATTCCTGATTCAAAGCAAACCTGATGTCCTGCAGATCTGATGTGTTTTTGTTGTTGAGATTAAACACTGTCTCTACAGTAAAAACTGAACATATACTTTATAGCATAAACATGTTTTTGATAATTCATACATGGTAAATATGTTTTTTTGTGAGGCTGTGAGGGCTTATTGCTCACATCTTTGAGCTAACATACTCCCAATAAGAATGCTAACATGTTTGGCTGGTATAATATTTACCGTATTAGCATGCTAAGGATTAGCTCCAAACACAAAGTACAGCTGAGGCTGATGGGGTATCTGTTGGTTGCAGATATTTATACATAGTTTAATATTGAACACTTTACAATTTGACATCATGGTGCTATGGTTAGGATAAAGGATAATTAAATCTTACAATTCATCCTCTTGAAGCCATTATGCACTTTAAAGCATTCCAAGGAGAAGTGAAACAAAACGTCATCTTCATAGTAGCGCTATAGAAAACTTCACAGGATCAGAAAATGACTTGCTTACTAACTTATGATATTACTGTATGGTTCTTGCTAGAGATCATCTCTATTTACTGGCTGTCACAACTGTGCCAAGCTCGGGAAATGTCATTATTAACTCGATTTAATACAATGTTGTCAGTTACACTCTATGTGCACCAACAGCATGACCTTCACCTCGTGATGAACTGAGAACTTCCTGATACTGACCTCCCTGCGTGACCGCCAGATAATCCTTTCATATATCGCCAGCCTTGACCCCCCCCCATACCTTTTCCCACTTCTATCTTTAAATATGCAACACACTCCACTCTCTGTCTTTCACTCTGACAGTGACTGTGTCTGTATGATTGACTGAACTTTCTGGCAAGATATCAAATACAACAAAGGCAGCTGAAACGTCTGATTCTTCTTCCACATTTGAAATGCAGACACGAAAGTAATAAGGATTTATCCTCTGGGAAACACGAACGCCTGAACCACATTTCAGTGCAATTCATCAAATATTTGTTTTAGATAAATCAGTCTGGGCTTAAGTGATGGATCAGCTGTTAGACTGTCATATGTTCCCATCTATATAGAGCCACGGTGCTAACTTTCCTGATAACTTGCTTAACTTGTGAGAAGTTTTGCGAACATGTGAACCTGTGCTCCTATAATCTTTGTAGGGCAAGATTTTCCCCTACTTTTCCACCTTTTCAGTCCAAAAATAGAAAATGTGTCGCTTGAATAAAAAAGGGTTGTAATGCTTACAACCTTTTTCTGATTTGTTTCTTCAAGTAGTATCATATATGTGAAGTGTAATAAGTATTAGCACTATTATGAGCCACGTTTAACTACTTAAACTAGTAATTGTGTCTGATCATGTTGAAACCAGGTCTGACCTTGGAGGTGGCAGGGGACGTCGTACTCGATCTCGTCGTGGCGTGACGGGCTGAGGAACAGAGTCCCGTCCACTAAAGGGAACTGTTCAAACACAGGCAGCGCTCGGTGGCACAGCGCACAGTTCACCACGTTCCTCTGGCTCGCACTGAGGGCTGACAGGATGAACCTACAGGGCAACACGGACAGAAACAACATGGTTACATCTTCTAGAGAGCCAGATTCATGTGGGATAGAGTTGTTGTATCAGAGTTGTCTTTATCAATAAGCTGAGTTCTACTAAACGCTATGAGCAACTTCTCAGGTATTAGTGATATAATATTGTGAGGCTTGTGTACCTCTAACATGTTGGACCACAGCTCGTTAACGCCAATTCAGTAAATGTCAATTAACAGGCGATATTTATGTATGACATGTGTGATTGATCTGGTCATTTTTATGTCTGAAAATGATAGAATCAGCCAAGGTGACAAAAAACATCTGCTTCTGTAGATAGTTGTGGTGTCTTATGACGGTTTACATATTGGAAAATAATTACATTTGGATTTGTTTTTCTTTCTGATATATACATATATATATATTTCCATATCAAGAAGTATAGGAATGTTGGCCACTTGATGAGAAATTACCTATTTGGGTCAACATCCTTCTTGTTTACTGAAATATGACCATAAAAAGCTAAAAGATGCATTATAAACAAACTTGAATTGCTTTGTCAGTTTATATTTGATAAATAAGCTACTAAAACAATAGCTGAACAGCAATCAATACTCAGAAAATTACTGTTTTCATCCCCTTTTGAATCTTATATTTGTATCTGTTTAATTTGGAACTATTTTGTTTCTACCCCAAATAAGCCCACCACTCGTGTCATTGAGCATGGTGTGGTTTGGTAGAAAAAATAAATGTTCCTACGTGAAACTACTCACAAAAAATCTGTGGATTATCTCGAGTCACCCGGTCATGATCTCTATATTTTTGTCTCTTGAGCACCACAAACAAAGTGCCATTTAGATCCAAACATTTGAGAGAAGGCAATACCTCCAACACTTGGCAACTCACACCAAAACAATCTAGATAAAAAAAAAGACAAAAAATATGTTGTTTTTTATATTAAAGTGTATTGTCTCTTTAATGCAGAGGGGAAACACGGGGTACCTGCGCAGCTCTTCTCCCTGGCCGGCCTGGGCGTCGTCCTCCATGCGGACGTGGTAGGTGTTGAGTTTGTGTCGGGGGACGTGGGTGAGCAGCTCCGAGAGGTCCAGCCTCCTCAGGAACTGCACTGGGTGAGAGTGGGCTCCGTCACCCACACTGCCCGAGCTGAGGCGCTGGTGGAGGGGGAGAGAGAAGGACAGCGGCAGGGGGATCACACCGGGGTCCAGGTGAGCTCCACACCCAGAGGCCCCCATCGAACACCCCCCCCGACCCAGAGCTCCTCCCACCAGCAGGTGTTTCCTCTGCGGGTCCATGTGCACGGCCGATTTGAAGAACTCCCCCAGCTGACGGGACCCTCGCAGTCCCGCTGCTCCAAGCACAGCACTGGGGGAGAAAGGGAAGCCAGCTGGAGGAGACTGACCCGGGGAGTCGCATGGAGACTTCAGAGGAGGCCCCAAGGAGAAGGGTCCCCCTCCTGCTGCTCCCCTCTCTGTGGAGTTCTGACGGTCCGTTGAAGCTCTCCGAGGAAACTCCTGACTCGAGGCTCTGTGGGGAAGCTTCCCTCCCCCCATGGCCCCCAGAGGTTTGCTCCTCTTCGGCTCCTCGTAGAGCCCGTCCCCCGACGCTCCTCCGCTGGACCCGTTCCTGCCCGCACTCCTCTCCGACGGCTTCTTCTTCCTCTCCTCCTGCGAACGCTTCACCTGGTACCAGTCGGTGTCTTTCTTCAGATGGCCCTGTCCGCAGCGGCAGGAGCAGAACCTGAAGGCCAGGTCGTAGCCCTTCTTGGTCCACATGTTCTGCCGGCACTACTTCTCGTTCCAGGATCGCGCCTGGCCGATGCAGTTGAACTGGATCAGGATGGAGCTCTCCATTCGTAGAAGCACTGAATGTGCATCCAGTTGCCGTACGGGCAGAGCTCGCTGCTGCAGAGAACGCGCTGATAGTCGTCCTTCTCCAGGCCCGTCGAATGCACGCACTCGATATTCGGACCGTTGATACGAAGCGACGTAACGTGTCACGATGACATCTTTGATACAGGTCCCTGTTGCCATAAACTTCAAACCTTCTTAAGTATGTCGATTGGTGTCGTCGTAGCGAAACGATAGACACGACAGTGCGCTTCCACTAAGAGCGATTAATCGATCGGTTATACTTGTCCGAAATCAGTAGAACCGGGTATCTCTATCTAACTCTACGGCGACTCACCCTGCATACTTTTGCAACCTTGCCAAAATTTACGCAAGATTTACTAATAGTCAATGTATCAGGCAAGATTGATTGTATTGATGTGAGGTTCTTCTGGCATTGATATTTGGGAGAATCTTGGGAAAATATTCCATGTCAGAATAACATTTCACATGGTCTACCAGTTATTTCATTCCTCTATATAAATGTACTGCTTTTTACAGGTGTCTATAGAATTAAGTTGTCTGGTTTTATTTGTTATCGCGGGCTGTGGGGTTTTCCGAATGTCATTTTATCTTAAGGTTTTTTAGGTCCGCTGTTTGTTAGCAGATAGCATACTCGTACTATCTTATACTTGAATTGTCATTACTCATTGACCATTTTCTCTTAGATTTGCGCCTCTTTACTCTCCTAAACAGATAAGTTCTTCTGTCCTAATTAGTGTGATTATTTATTATTCTACACCCTATAAGCTCAATGCTTTTTATATACAACTACAAGATCATTAACACAAATGACGTACGAAAGAATTCAATCTTGGTGAATGTAGCCGAGCGCGGGCGGGCGAGAAGAGCACAGTGTTTACATTTGAAGGAGACCTACTTATTTTCATAAGGGCGCGCGGAAGACTAAGAACAGTGTAATAAACGATTTGTTTATATCTCATTAATTGAGGTTATCTGTTTAGGTCAGATTCTATGTCATGGTAGTAATGTTGCTGTGCGTACTGCCGACGACCTAATTAAATTCCACCCGATAACATTCCCCTTATTTGCCCTGTTAAACTCTTTACTAGGGAATTTAATTACTGTAGACCCTACAATCTCTATATCCTCTCGACTAGTATGGAGGTATTTTGAAGTCACCACCATCAGAATACTTAGGAGGTTTGAAGGTTATGGAACAGACCTGTATAAAGATGTCTTTGAGCCGGTTGTCATGTCTCCGGGTGTGTTTGACGTCTTGTGCCAAGAAACCCTGTGAGTTTATAAATTAATGGGTAAATTTTAGTGCTTGATTTATGTGCAATATACGTCCTGTGTCTGCCAAGTCTTTGTGTCTTTATAATCTTTTGTTGGTAATTCTGCTTTTAGTCAACTCCTAGACGTTTTGAGTTGATATATGTG